TCCATCCATCCATCCATCCATCCATCCATCCTTCCATCCATCCATCCATCCTTCCATCCGTCCTTCCATCCATCCATCCGTCCTTCCATCCTTCCATCCGTCCGTCCATCCATCCATCCGTCCGTCCGTCCGTCCATCCTTCCATCCATCCATCCATCCGTCCATCCGTCCTTCCATCCTTCCATCCTTCTGTGCTCTCTTGCATCCTTCTGTCATCCTTTCTTCTGTTCATTTCTCCTCCAGCCATCTTTCCTCCCTCCCTCCGTCCCTCCCTCCCTCCCTCCCAGTCTTCCTTCTCTCCCTTTCTATTCAGCTCTCTGTTCTTACTTCCTTCTGTCTTTCCTCCCTTCTCTCCTTCCCTCCTTCCTTTCATCTGCCCACCCGCCCACCTATTCATCATTTTTCTTCTTCCCTCCTCCCTTCCTTTCTCCTCCTTCCCTTTGTTCCTTTATTTCTCCCTTCCATCCCTCCATCCTTTCTTTGTTCTACTCTTCTTTGTTCCTTCCACTCTTCGTTCCTTCCAACCACCCTCCACCCATCCATTCGTCCAGCAAATATTTGTGTCAGGCGCTGTGCAAGGCTCCGTGCTCTCCTGGAGTGTGTGGTCCAGCGGCGGGGACAGATGATGGGACAAGAACAACCCCATGGGGTGTGTGTGTGTGTGTGTGTGTGTGTGTGTGTGGTGGGAGTACAGGGAGCTCTCGGAGACAGAGAAGAGTGACATGGCCTAGATTGGGGCATGGTAGCCAAGGAGAGAATCTTGGAGAAAGGAGATTAGGGCTAAGACTTGAAAGATGAGAAGGAGTTAGCCAGGGGGAGAACGTTGAGGGAGAGAATAGAATATGCCAAGTCCCTGAAGTGAGAGAGGCAGGGTGCCCTTGCAGGTCACCAGAACGGGTCCAGAGGGGCCATCAGTCTCTGGGGAATTTGGACTTTATCCTGAGAGCAGAGGGGACACTGAAGGTTTGCTGCCCGGGGAACGGATGTTGGGTAAGGGAGAGGCAAGAGAGTGGAGAGGCCAGGTGATTCCCAGGTTTCTGGCCTAGTTAGAGGGTTGTGCCTCGCCTCCATATTGGGAATGAGAGTGGGGCCGGACAAGGTTTAGGGTTTGCTCACTGTACCCATGAGGGTGCAGGATGGGCTGGGTCTAGGGGCTGGAGAGAAAGACCAGAGGCAAGATCATGAGACTGGGAGCCAAGAGCTGAGAGATGGTACCTGGAGCTGAGCATGGTGAGCTCACCCTCTGTGCTGTCATGGGAGTGAGGGAGAAGAGGCCAGACCAGGGAGAGGAGACCCAGCCCTGGCCTCCCCTGGCCGGCCTTTGGTCTGAGTAGGCAGACACAGCCTTATTAAGTTCCTGGTCTGGGGTGAGAGGTGAAGCCTTTATTTTCAAACTACTCCCAGTCTGAGGGAGACACATAGCACTGCCCTCAAGGAGCCCCCAAGTGATGGAGGGAGTCAGTCTTTATCTTTAAGAGACTCCCAGTCTAGGAGCCCAGTCTAGGGAGGGTGGCTCAACCTCATGCCTGGGTCACCTTGGTGTGAAGGGGAGGCAGGGGCTGAGCCTCCATGCTCACAGTCTGGGGGGTGGGGGCCCCTTGGCCATGGGCATATTACCAGCAGGGCCTTGGAGGACTTGAGCCTTGGGGATGTGGTCTGGGCCTGGAGCTGGGGCTGGGGGTGGGGGCAGGCAGGTTTAGCTTTCGGCCACCTTTATCCACCACCCGCTCTGCTTGCAGATGAACCCACCAGCCCCAGCATTGACCTCCAAGCCAAGCATGTCCCTGCCTCTGCTGTGGTCTCCAGCGCCATGAATTCAGCCCCCATCCTGGGCACCAGCCCATCCTCCCCAACCTTCACCTTTGCCCTCGGCCGCCATTACTCCCAGGACTGCAGTGAGTGCTCCTTGAACCCCAGCCCCATCCTCTCCCTTGCTGCCTGGTCCTCGGGGGTCTCTGCTGGGCCTGCTGCCTGATGTCTGGCCTCTCCCTCCTGGCTTCTGCTACCCCTGGGGCCCCATGTGTAGAGCCACCTCCTGGCCCGGGGAGCCGCCCGCCCCCCCCCCCCCCCTGCTGACTCTGTGGCCCAATGTGGGCGGCTTTGCAGGCAGCATCAAGGCTGGCCGCCGTTCCTCCTACCTGCTGGCCATCACCACAGAGCGCTCCAAGTCCTGTGACGACGGGCTCAACACCTTCCGGGAAGAGGGCAGGGCTCTGAGGTGAGGACGGGGTGTGGCCATCACAGCACGGCCACCCCAGCTGGGTGTCCTCCACACACCAGGGCAGTGAGCTCCCCCGCTCCCTGGAAGGCTCCTGAGCCTTGGGATTTGGGGGGAAATCCTCGCTGTGCTTCCCACATTCCTCACACTCCGTTCTCACTCCCCAGGCGCCTGCCAAACCGAGTACCCAGCCTGCGGATGCTGCGAAGTTTCTTCACTGACGGGGTGAGTGGTGAGTGTGTGTGCACGTGCGCGCGAGCGTCGGGGGGGCTGGAGAGTGACCGGTGCCTCAGCTGTGGAGCCCAGTGACCGGGTGGTCTCCTCCGGCTCCTGTCTCCCCTCCCCCCCATGCCCAATTTGGCATTGGCCACGTGGGCTCCGTCATCACTTAAAGACATCTGCACCCTCCCACCCCAGGCCGTGGCCCTTGCCGGTCCCCCATCCGGAACTCCCCTCCACAGCCACATGACTCCCTTGGTTACTTTCTTCAGGTTTTCTCGAACTTTTCTGAGATGTTAGCCTTCATCCCTGACATGTCATGTCTCCCTTCGGCACCTAGCTTTTTCTCCTCAGCACTCCTCCTGTGATAGGGTTTATGCACCTGTCTCCTCTCTTGCCCATGTCCCAGCTAGAATGCAAGCTCCGCGGGGACAGGGATCTCCCTCGGCCAGCCTGCTCCCCGGGGGGGTACCCAAAACTGCCTGCACTGGCCGGCACCGGGCAATATGTGCGTGGTGTCTCTAGGGGACGGGGGACACAGGACAGGAGGGGGACCCAGGGTTGAGAGTGAGGGACAGGCCAGAGTTCCCAGGCTCCGCACCTGGGCACGCCCTGGGCTCCACGCTGAGACGGCCTTCGCTCTTTGTGATTGTGGACACCCTGGAGAAGCCATTTGATGTCAAACCCTTGGTATCTTTGGTTCATTTGACACCTTGAGGACATTGTCACCTGGCTTGCTCCTTATCACTTCCTCTGCTTACTTAACTCTCCCTTGACCTGTCACCTTGTTGACACTATCACTTCCTCTGTTTAACTCCTTGTGGGCTGGACTACCTGCTCCACTAACTCAGCCTCTGTTGATGTTTCTACTTCCTCTGTTTATTTAACTCCAAGTCAACACAATCGCTTCCTCTGTTTCCTTAGTTTCTTCAAGTCTATAAAGTGATGGGAGGTTCTAGATTGGCTTTTCTAGCGTGGTGAGGCATGTGCTTGGCAGGTCACGGCCTTTCCTCCTTTCTGGCTTCCTCAGCACATGCGTCCCATGACCTCAGCGCCATGGTCCAGAGAGGGCAGGCGGGGCCCGTGAGGCCACACAGCACAGCGGCCTGGGAGGCTCTGCGAGGCCACGGGGCTCCTGGCATGCTGGCACCATGGGAGCCACCCTAAGTTGCCGTCTGTTGTCTCACTGCAGTCCTTGGACAGCTGGGGCACTTCTGAAGATGCGGGGGCTCCCTCTAAGCGCCACTCGACCTCTGACCTCTCGGACGCAACCTTCAGCGATATCAGGAGAGAAGGCTGGTTGTATTATAAGCAGGTCCTCACCAAGAAGGGGAAGGTAAGGTGCTTGCTGGAATGAGGTGGAGGTGGATGGAAGCCGTCTCCGGCAGAACTCTCCAGCTTCTGCACCCACCCCACAGCCTCTGGAGCCAGAGAGAACCAGCCGAGGCTGTAGCACGAGGGGTGGAGGTTAGATGTCAGGAAGAACTTCCTGGGGGAACCTAAAGAACTCAGGGAAAAGAGGTTAACCAGAGAGATGGGCTCTGTTGTGCCATGGGTCCGGTCAGTGTGCCTGAAATCTGGTCGGAACCACCCCACAGTGATGCTTGGTTGGCAGATCACCCCAAAGATGGACACGGGGGCTCATGGAAAGTAAGGGAGCAAGGCCAGGGTGATTCTTTTAGGGGAGCTGAGACCCCAAAAGAAGGCAGAAGTCAGCCTTTTCAGGGTCTTGCAGGACGGACGAGGAGAGATTTTAGTCTCTATCCCGAGGGCAACTGAAAGCCCTGGGGCCTCTTTCATTCGGGTTCCTGGGGAATGAATTAGAGAGGGGCCGACCTGAGGCAAGAAGACCAATGAAGAGCCACCACAGCGATCCAGGTGAGCGGTGGAAATGGCTGGGCCGTGGGTGACAAACAGGATCCCAGCGTGAGAGGGCGGGGCCCCTGGGTCCACGGAGTAGGAAGGCCTTTCCAGGCTGTGCTGAGGCTGAGGAGGAAGAAGGAGACGCCGCCCAGGCAGAGCTGAGCAGAGTGGTTAGCATAAACCTGGGCTTGGCCCTTGACTGCATCATGCCTTGCTGGGGGAGCTTGGGTGACTCAGCTGTCTATGACTCAGTTTCCTCGTCTGTAAATAGAGCTAACAACAACCCCTAGCACATACACCTGTTGCTGGGGATTAAACGAGTTAACCCGAGCAAAAGTGTACACCCGGCCTGGCCCAGGGAGCTCTTCTTCTGCTATGATTCGAATTTTCCGCCCTGCCTTCTAGGGGTCTTGTACCTGGGGAGAGAACATAAGCTTTGAAGTCAGACAGACATGGAGTTCCTGCCCGGCCACTCATGGCCAGCGTAAGGCTTTGGGCAGCCTCCTCCCCCTCTGTGCCACACTTTTCCGATCTGTAAGATGGGGACAGGGTTATCCTGCACCCTGGTGTGAGGTGAAGTGAGCTGGGTAGGCCAGGCGGGGGCGGGCATTCAGCCGTGCCCTCGTCCAGTCCGTGGTAATGACCGAGTGCCTGCCGTGCTCCCCGGTTCGTGGTCGAGGTTCTGGGTATTTTATGGAGAGGGAGCCAGGCCAGTCCTGCCCTGCTGGGGCTCAGGACGAGCCGAGAAAGCACATGGTGCATAATAGTTGCCAGTGCGTTACTGTCACAGGGGAGGAGCGGAGCGGCGTGCGGTAGGTGACCCCAATCTCGGCGGGGTGCAGGAAGGTGTCCAGGAGGCTGTGACATGAAGGGTGTGTGAGAATCCACAGCAGGGAGTGAGGCGAGTGCTCTGACAGCGGAGACGCCCTCCTGGATGGTCTGGGGGGTACGGAGGGCGTGCTGGGTGGCTTCGAGCCAGGCTGAGAGGGAGAAGCCGAGGTGAGGAGTCTGGCGCTGGCTCGCGGGGCCTCATCCCCCATGGCAAGCCTTTGCAGGGGTTCCGATAGGGGTGGGAGGTGTGTAAGCCTAGGAGGCAAGGGTCTGTGATAGGAGAAGACAAGGGCATTGCTGTTGTCCAGGTGAGCAAGGGTGGGGGCCCTGACCGAGGTCCTGGCATGGGGCCAACGGGAAGGGACAATTTGGAGAGATCAAGGGAGGGATGGCCTGGGCTTGCTGATGGCTGGGAGGTGAGAGAGGACGGAGGAGGCAGATGATGGCTATGGGGGTGATGGGGCCTTCCCCTGAGCCACAAGTCACTGGAGGGGCAAGTTTGGTGAGAGGAAGCCAAGGGTTCCTTTGGCGACTTGTAGAGTCCAAGCACCCTGGGACATGGAGGTGTCCTGGGGAGAGAGGCTCCGGGGGCATGGCACTCGGGAAGGAGTCCATCAAGGTGTGCACAGGCACGTGGGGGAGCATGGAGGGAGAAGGCGAGAGACTGGCTGTACCTTGAGAGGACATGGGGAATGCAGACCAAGGAGGAAAGCCAGCAAGATGGCAGGAGGGCTTGCCTAGGAGGGCCAGCAGGGGCCAGCTGTGTGGACTGAGGAAGGGGAGCCAGGGTGGCAAACCCTTCCAGCCCAAAGTTGGAGCCCCTCTGAGGAACTGGGGAGGACAGCTGACTCCTGCCTGCCAGGTAGCCTGGCCCCCAGCTCTGGCTGGCCCCCGGCAGCCCCACCACAGCGTCTCCCAGGCAGGGAGGGGAGCTGGCCCCTTCCTGCTCACTGACCAGTTCTGGAGGACAGGACCTTCCACTCCAGGCTCGGCCAGGACCCGATTTCACTTGTCCCTTCAGTTCTGTGGCCTGGGAGTTAGGAGAGGTGTCCTCAAGTCAGCTTCAAGCCCTTAGTCTGTCCGGGGAACTGATTGCCAGCCCCATGTTGTCTGCTTCAGCAAGTCTAGCCTCTCCTGGGTGACCCCCACCCACTCCCCAGCCTCTTTCAGAGGCCATTTGCTGTCGGGCGGGGGGGTGGGTGTGGGTGTGACAGGTCCCTGCGGTCACAGACCTAGAATTTGAGCTGGATGTAACCTTGGAGACCAGCTAGTACCCTTTTCGTTTTACCAATAAGGAACACTGATGCCAAGGGACAGGGCTTGACTCGTCCAAGGTCACCTAGCTGGTTTGGTCTCCAAGGGGCCCCTTGCCACCACTTCACTCTGATATAAAAAAAATCCCCTGGAGAGCCATGCTGTCTCCTGCTCTGACGATCCTGTCTGGTCCAGCAGGTCTGTGGTGGTGGGCAGGGCTCATGGCCACATGTAGCTGTGTTACCTGCCAGCCGTGGAAACTCCTCACCTGGTTTGTTCAGAGGGCAGAGGCCCATGGTGGGTGAGGAGTAGTAGGTAGCCCACCAGCCCAAGGAAGGGAGCCCTCGGTCTGATGGGGGAGATGGAGCCCCTGCCTTCAGCGTGCTCCAGGGATGATTAATTCATTTACTCAGTGAATATTGATGAGCACTTACCCTGCACCCGTGGACGCTCTAGGCTCTTGGATGTGGACGTGAGAGGAGAGACAAGCTCCCTGCCTCCAGGAGCTTACCGTTTCCTGGAGAGATCCACAACCAGCACAACTGGAGGTTGCAGTAAGCACTCAGGGAAAATGAACTGGGTGATGTGATTGCCTTGAAGTTTGGAGGTAAGGTAGCAGGGAGCTGCCTTTAGAAGAAAAGGGTCAGAGAAGGCCTCACTGAGGAGGTGATATTCGTGACATTTGAGCTCAGCCCTAAAGGGCAAGAAGGAGGCCACATGGAGAAGCCAGAGAAGGGGCTCCTGGCAGAAGGAACAGCAAGAGCAAAGGGCCCAAGAAAGGAAAGGGTTGGCTTGTTCACTAGAGAAGGCCCCTGTGTCTTGACACAGTGAGAAAGATGTTGGTGGAGAAGTTGAGTTTGGAGAGGGAGGGACACACCACAAAGTTCTTAGATTTGATTCCAGTGGTGGCAGGAACCCACCCAGGGTGCTAAGCAGGGGAGAGACATGATCTCATTTACATTTCGAAATGGTGACTGCAGGGGCGCCTGGGTGGCTCAGTTGGTTAAGTGTCTGCCTTCGGCTCAGGTCATGATCTCGGGGTGCTGGGATGGGGCCCCTCATCAGGCTCCCTGCTCAGCCGGGAGTCTGCTTCTCCCTCTGACCCTCCCCGCTCTCGTGTTCTCTCACACTCTCTCCCCCTCTCTCAAATAAATAAATAAAATCTTAAAAAAGAAAAAAAATGAGGGCTGCAGGGGTGCTGCCTGGCTCAGTCGGTAGAGGATGCAGCTCTTGGTCTCAGTGTCATGAGTTTGAGCCCCACGTTGGGTGTAATTGCTTAAAAAACATGGTGGCCAAAGCTGCTGGGTGGAGAGTGGATTACAGGAGGCGAGGGTGGGGACTGGGAAGGTTTGTGTAGTTGTCCAGGTAAGAGGTGTTGGTGGTGTGGACAAGTTGCTAGGTAGCAGGAAAGATGGAGACAGGTGGTATTTGGAAGCAGAACAGCTGTGACATTCTGACGGGTTGGATGTCAAGGGTGAGGAAAAGGGAGGGGTCAAGGGCAACTCTCAGGTTTCTGGGCATCTGGGTGGATTTACTGAGCTGAAGAAGTTGAGCGGGGGCTGCTGTGGAGAATAAGTCTGATGACAAAAATCAAGTGCCCCGTGGGGAGCAGGTAGTGTGCAGAGTGCCTACGGGACATGCAAGTGGGGACACTGAGCAGGGGGTGGGAGGTGCAGGACTGTGGCTGGGGGGGCAGGGAGGGGTGCCAGACCAGGGATACATTTGGGAATCACTGTCAGCAGATGGGATTTAAAGCCACAGGCATGGATGACATCACGGGAGAGGCATGCAGGGAAAGGGGAGCCCAGGACAAAGTTCTGGAGTCCCCCCTCCTTTAGGGCAGGGTCTTAACCTCAGCTCTAGTGACGTGTGGGGCCAGATGATTCTTTGTGGTGGGGGGCTGTCTTGGACATCGGGGGATGTTTAGCAACATCCTTGGCTTCTCCCCTCTAGATGCCATAGTACTTCCCCAGGTGTGACAACTGAAAATGTCTCCAGACAAATGTCCCCCTGGGCACCATTCGCCCCCGTTGAAAACCACTGGTGAGAGGATGTTGTGGGGAAGGAAACCAGTGGAGGAGACCGAGAAGGAGCCAGTGGGATTAGGAGGAAAAACAGGGACCCTGGGGTGCCAAGAGAGGGTTTAGAGAAGGAAGGAGCAGCAGGCTGGGCCTGCGCGGCCAGGATACTGGGTAGAGCCTTGAGCGAGAGGCCAAAGAGCAGGGAGAGCAGGTGCAGTGGACGATTCTTGACCAGTTTTGCCGTGCAGGGGGCAGTGTGTGGACTAGGAGTGGTTTTACAAGGATTTTATGGAAGGTGGGCCATGCTGCGGGGGCAGCTGCTTCTGTGGGGCATTGCGGATCCAGATGCCCTTGATGCCAGGATTGAAAGGTGCTAGTATTGAAAGGAAGATTAGGGACCCTGGGCGGTGGGGACACAGAGAACGATGGGTGGGGGCATTCAGGCGGCCGAGCGGCTGGTCAGGAGGTGGGGCGGCGTCCCCAACGCTGTGGCCGCCCGCAGCTCTCCTAGGCCCCCCACCCTCCCGCGGGCTGTGGGGGCGGGGAGGGCAGGCCTGGCCTCTTACGCCCTCCCCCCTCCCGTCTCTCCCCCTCCCCGTGTCTCCCTGCAGAAAGCGGGCGGCGGCCTGCGCCAGTGGAAGCGGGTGTACGCCGCGCTGCGGGCGCGCTCGCTCTCGCTGAGCAAGGAGCGGCGGGAGCCCGGGCCGGCGGCGGCGGGGGCGGCGGCGGCCGTCGCAGGTGAGGACGAGGCGGCGCCCGTCTGCATCGGCTCCTGCCTGGTGGACATCTCCTACAGCGAGACCAAGAGGAGGCACGTGTTCCGGCTGACCACCGCTGACTTCTGTGAATATCTCTTTCAGGCTGAGGACCGGGATGACATGCTGGGCTGGATCAGAGCGATCCGAGAGAACAGCAGGGCCGAGGGCGAGGTGAGGGCCCGGCTGCCCACCCGGGGCCTGGGGTGACGGGGAAGGGGTGGGGGAGCCCCAGGGCCACCCCTCACCCACCGTGGACCTCGTCAACCTCACTGAGCCTCAGTCCCCTCCTATGTAAAGTGGGCTAACAGGAGCACACCTTGAGTTCCACCCACCTGGGCTTTGGTGTGAAGAGAACACGCAGACAGTGGCTCCCAGAGCCCCTGGCATCCTCTGTGTTCCCTGGCTGGCAGTAACTCTAATAACTGGAGGAATGACACTAATGATTATTATTATCATTATTAATTATTATTATTACTGCCTTGGGCGGGCTCTGGCACAGAGAGGTCAGCTCCAGGCCAACCTCAGGTTGGGGTTCAGGAAGCGGGGGTTTCTTCTGGAGGGTGTTACAGAAGGAGGTGCCCTGGAGCCAGAACCGTGGCTGGCACTGCTGACAGGGCTGGCCTGTCAGCGGGGCACGAACACATTGACCTTGGGAGGAGGCCAAGAGGATTGGCCTTTGGCAACAGGCTGCACTGGTTGAGCCAGAGGCTTTGGCAGGGATTTCAGGGTAATTTTTAAATGGTGCCCCCTCTTGGGCAGCTGCACCTGCACACCAGGAGCCTGGGCTGGGGTGTCCGCCACCCCTCCCCGCCTTGGCCAGGTGCCTGCACAATGGTGCCTCGGCACACCTGCACAGATTTCACGTGGGGGTCCTGGGCTCAGGGGCTGGTCTCTGCCTGAGGATGGTGGGCCTGGGCCCTCGTCCACGTGTGCACCTGCTTGGGCCATGGGGAGAGGGGCCCTAGTACAGAGCCCCCGGGCCACAGACCCTCTCACTGAGGGGAGACCCATCCTCTTGCTGAACCAGGCTCTGCTCTCCTCAGAACATTGTCTTTCCTTCTGTGGGGAGGAAAGTACCTGGAATCTGTGGCTCCTGCTCTGGGGGGCCTGGCTGGGCTGTCCCCAGCAGGGCATAGTCAGGGGGGACCCAAGTGACCTTCGTTATTGCAGTAGCTGCCCGTCATGGGGCACCTCCTCTGTGTCTTGCCAGGAATCCGATCAGTGCTACATGCGTAATTCTGCACCCCAACCCCGAGGTTGCTATATTATCTCCTTTGCTACTATGGAAGAGACTGAGGCTCAGAGAGGCTAGTGGGTTACTCTAGGTCACACAGCTGGTGAGGGGGCGCTCAGGAGTCCAGCCCTGGTTTTTCTCGCTCCAGGGTGTGAGCCCTCCAGCTGACAGATGGAGGAGAGAGGGGAGGCAAAGCAGAGGCTGGGGCCAGGGATGAGACCTGAGTTGGCTGGCTGTGGGCACTGATAGGGTCTGTTTTTTTCTTTCCTCTCCTCCAGGACCCCGGCTGTGCCAACCAAGCTCTGATCAGCAAGAAGCTTAATGATTATCGCAAAGTAAGGTGAGGCCCGCCTCTCCTAAACAGTCCTGGCCAGGGGTTAGGGGCACTCCAGACAGAGGCCATCCTCCTGGCCCACCTCTAGGCCTGAGGGCAGCCCCTGAGTCATCCTCTGCTGGGGGCAGGCAGGATGGCAGGGGCATCGAACCCATTGCTTCAGGGATGGAGAGGGAGGTCCAGAGTGGTAGGAGACTAGGGCAGGTGGCATGTTGGGTCACCCCAGATGAAGACTTCTCCTCTCCCCCTTTTCCTACACAGCCATAGCTCTGGGCCCAAAGCTGATTCCTCCCCCAAAATCTCTCGTGGCCTGGGGGGCCTCAAGTCTGAGTTCCTCAAACAGAGTACTGCACGTGGCCTCAGGACTCAGGACCAGCCTGCAGGGAGCAAGGGTAGGAAGGTGGCTGCTAAGGGGGTAATGTGTGTGTGTGCGTGTGCATTTGGGACGGTGGGAGTCAGCCCTGTGGGTCTGCATGGGAGCCGAGGGCGTGTGTGTGGGGGGGGTGGGGGGGTACCTGTGAGGGTCTGGGGGCTCTCAGAGTCTCAGGGATGGAAGGGCCCGGAACCTGATTTCCCTCCATGATATCCCAGCTGGGTAGCCCCCTAGTCTCTGCTTGTATCTCTTCAGGAGCAGGAGACTCATCCTCTCTGGAGGCAGCCTTTTCCATCTTTATACACTTTGGGCTGTTAGAAAGTTCTTTCTTTGGTTGTACCAGAATCTAGGGCTCCCACCTTGTTGTTTTAGCCCTTGAGACCACATAGAAGTCCTTACGTTCCTCTGAGGCCTGTGTCCTCAGGAACACACACCCTCATGTCTTAGATCTTCCCTCAGGATATAATTTTCCATCAGCCCTCAGCATTCCAGTAGCTGCTCTGATGGAGTCCCCATATGTCCAAACATGGGCGAGTGTGTGTGGCCAAGTGTGGTTGCTGCCCCTCCCCAGGCCTCCTGGCTCACCCTGGCTTTGTCTGCCTTTCCCCACCCCAGATGACAGTGCTGCCCCTCCCAAAACCCCCTGGGGCATCAACATCATCAAGAAGAACAAGAAGGCAGCCCCTAGGGCTTTTGGGGTCCGGCTGGAGGAGTGCCAGCCGGCCATAGAGAACCAGGTGAGTTGCGCCATACTCCGGAGCGCGCGGGGAATGGGGGAGCCCAGGGCACAGAAGGCCAGATCTGAGGGACTCTGGAACCAGCGCTCCATCTCATCCTGCAGACGCAGCGGTTGGAGGGGTGGGGGAGCGCCCAGGGAGGGAACAGCAGAGCTGAGGCAGAACCCAGGATCGCTGGCCTGCAGCTGGGCGAGGCTCTGGTGTTCTGTCTAGCCCCCAGACTGGAGGCCGTCCCGCACGGGGCTCCCAGCAGCTCTGGGCTTGTGCGGCTCCGGTCTTGGTCTTCCGGCCTCTTCTGGCCCACTGCGGGGGGGGGGGGGGATTCTTGCCCTTCGCCTTCCTAACGTGCCTGCCCTGCCTGTGTCCCCAGCGGGTCCCCCTGATCGTGGCTGCGTGCTGTCGCATTGTGGAGGCACGGGGGCTGGAATCCACGGGCATTTACCGAGTGCCGGGCAACAATGCGGTGGTGTCCAGCCTGCAGGAGCAGCTCAACCGTGGGCCCGGTGACATCAACCCGCAGGATGAGGTGGGCGCGGCGGGGGAGGGGCGGGGGGGCAAGGTGTTGTGTGTGTGTCTCTTGTGGTCATCGGACCCTGCGATGTGCCTGGCAGTGGGCCAGGGCCCCGAGATGGGCGAGGCAGACCTGCCCTGGCAAGCCGGATAGAGACACGCTCATGGCTGGGCAGCCCTGAGGCCGAGGCTCACAGGTGATAGTTTCTGGGGCCTTGAGGACGAACAGCGTTCACTAAGTGCCCGTGAAAGCCGGGTAGGGACATCCCAGGCTGAGGGAATGGCTGGGGCAAATGCGCGGGCTCTGAAGGGTCGCCAGCAGCCAGCTCACCTCTAAAGGGCCAGGTGGCCAACGCTTTAGGCTTTGGTCACCACGTGGTCTCTTCCTCCTCTTCCTCCTCCTCCTCAGCCCTTTATTTATTTATTTATTTTTTAAAAGATTTTATTTATTTATTTGAGAGAGAGAATGAGAGCACATGAGAGGAGGGAGGGTTAGAGGGAGAAGCAGACTCCCTGCTGAGCAGGGAGCCCGATGCGGGACTCGATCCTGGAACTCCAGGATCATGACCTGAGCCGAAGGCAGTCGCTTAACCAACTGAGCCACCCAGGCGCCCCTCCTCAGCCCTTTAAACACATAAAACCCTTCTTAGCTCCAGGGCCGTACGAAACCAGGCCGCTGGCTGGACTTGAGCTCCGGGCTGTGGTTTGCGGACCCCCTGGCTTAGAGGGGGGCATGGGGCATTTTGTGGGGCAGCCAGCACTTTGCGTGGTTGCAGCCGGGGTCAGGAGGGGCTGGTCGGGTGAGACAAAGCCGGCTGGGGAAGGAATCTGACAGCCACACTTCAGAGCTTGCGGCAGGTTATATGTCAGTTATAGCTCCGTGAAGCTGGAAAAAAGCCAAAAACGTATTTCAGTGTGAAAAAGAAAAAATAACAGACATATATGCAGCAGGGCCAGTGTTTCTCAAACTGTGTTCCCCAGAGGAGCTGTGGGAGGCTGGGAACAGGTCAGGAGCCCCCATCCTTGCTTGAACTAGACTAATCTGCTTTGTTCTGTTTTTTGTTTTTTTTTTTTTTAATGTCATATTTTCATATTGGGTTTTCATGTTTGACAAAAGGGGCTCTGCTGAGAAAGATGTTTTGGAAAACCGCAGATCTGGGCAATGAAGTCCCATGAGTCCCATATTGTGAAGCTTTATGTGATACATGACAGTCTTCCTGCCTCTGGGGAGGAAATGGGGAGAGATGACATGCAGGCTAGTAGCCAAGAGAAAAGGCTGATCTCTCACCAGGGACCAGATTGTGTGATGAGGAAGGAGAAGATGTTGAGGGCTGGAGCAGGTGGGGAACTTGAGTGTTGGAATCTTTGAAGGCTGAATGGGAGGGGGCAGGTGGACAAGAAGGCAGTCCCAGCTGGGAATGAGGGCATTTTCCAAAATCCCAGAAGAGGGTCTGAGTGTCGGGAGAGAACAGACCCACCTCCTGCCTTCTTCCTGGGCTTGGCGGTGGGGAGGGTGAGGCCCAGGGCAGGAGGCAGAGGGCTTTTGATGGCTCCACTGAAGCCTTTGACCTTGATCCAGTATACAATAGGGAGCCTTCCCTTGTTCTTCAGCTGGGGCAGCATAAATGAGACTGGCGTCTGCTCTAGCTTATGCCTGATGGGTATGAACGCGGGGGGCCCAGAGCGGGCATCTACGGGAGAATTGCTGATATGTGGGAAGTGCAAGGGGCCAGGAGGACATGGTGGTCCCAGGGGAAGAAGGAGGCCAGGAGCAGCTCTAGGAGTTGGCCACATGAGAGGGAGGAAGGGGGGGCAGGGAAGAGCCCACATTTGAGCTGGGGGCTGATGGTGTGTCTCTGGCAGAAACTGGGGAGTAGGGCCGGAGAGGGAGGTTGTATCAGGTAGGGGCCCCGCTGGATTTGGGGTGATAGCACAATTGGCACTGCCCAAGAGTTGACTGGAGGATGGGTGTGGTCATGCCGGGGCACAGAGTGGGACGATGGAGGGAGCTCCTAGACGGGCAGAGGGCGGGCAGCAGGGGTGAAAGGCCAGGCTCCGCATGGGGCAGAGGAGAGGGTACAGGTAAGGCTGGGGTGAGGGACAGATACGTGCACATGGGAGTGGTCCGGAAGCCTTGGGTTTGGCAGCTGGGAGATGAGAAGAGCCCACGCCTCGGGCCAGGAAGTGACGGGGCAGGTGGGCAGGAGCTGCAATGGGAAGGGGTGGGTGTGCTCTGAAGCACATTCGCTGGGCCTTAGCCAGGAAAGAAGCATGGCCAGAGCTGGGGGGCAGCTGGCCCAAGTCAGGGCCCAGAATGTGGGCATGCCGATTGTGTTGGGTGTGTGGTTTTGTCTCAGACATCAGTCCTGTCCTTTGTCACGGGGACTGCTGGAAGTTAAATTTTTTTTTTTTAATTTTTAAAAAAGATTGTATTTATTTCTTTATTTGAGAGAGAGAAAGCATGAGCAGGGGGGAGGGGCAGAGAGAGAAACAGACTCCCCGCTGATCAGGGAGCCTGATGCCCAGGACCCTGGGATCGTGACCTGAGCTGAAGGCAAACGCTTAACCAACTGAGCCACTCAGTTAAGTATTGTGGGCAGGGTGACTGTAACTTCTTCTGAGCCTGAGGGGAGGGTACTGTTTGTGGGATGGTGTGGCATTAAGCTGTGGACCCACTGTACAGAGCCTGTATGTTGTGGAGCTGTATGTCTTTGTGGAGAGCCTTACCTTGTGTTCTGGGCCTGAGTTACTCAGCCGTTCCTGTCAAGGCTGTTACCCTTGACTTTGTGCAGGGTGGTGGTGCCCCCTCCTGGTCAGAGGGGGCAATGCCCCGGCCATGCCTCATTCGTTCTTGCGTTCAACAACCCATTTATTTAGAACAGGGTTTCTCAATCTTGACACTTTGGACAGAATAGTTCTTGGTCATGGGAAGTTGTCCTGTGCATCACGGACAGTTTAAAGGCATCCCCGGACTCTACCCGCTGGATGCCAGTGGCACCCCCCGTAGTTGAGGAAACCAAAGTGGTTCTAGAATATCACCAAATGTCCCCGGGGAGGGGTGGTGATTCTGCTCCTGGGGAGAACTACTGATTTAGACCATTGAAGTGCCGCGCTAACTGAGCTCACCAGGTGGTAGGAGCACAGTGGGGGACGGGGCAGACAGGATCCCTGCTCCTCAGGGAGCTGCAGTCCCACCAGACAGATAGGCAGGGACAAGGAGACAAATGCATACAACAGTGACAAAGTGTGGCAAGTGCCATGAAGGAAACAAAGTCAGGGCTGCTGCACAGGGCGGTGGCGGCGGTGGCTGTGTTAGCTGGGACTGTCAGGGAAGGCCTCCTGGAAGCGGTGACATTTGGGCAGGGTGAGGAGCCAGGCCTGTGAAGGCAGTGGAGGAAAGTTGTAGTGGAGGGAATCGGCAAGTGCAAAAAGCCTGAGACAGGAGGGTGCTAGGCGTGAGCGACTGCTGTGTCATGCATAAGGAGAGGGGGGTGTCCAAGGATGACTCTCTGCTAAGTGGGGAGCCCTGGGAGGCAGGAGGGGGCGCTATAAGGCCCAAAGAGGTCCAATCACCAAGGAGGTTTTGCTCACTTCTGTCCCACAGTGCTGGCACTAAAGAAGGTAGCTGCTACTTTCTGGGGGTAGGCAAATGTCGGAGCCCCCTGGGCTTGCTGGAGCAGGGAGGGGTTGGGCCAGTTGGTCAAGGGGCCAGGACCCAGCTGGGGACTGTTCTGCCACCACCACCCTGATGAGTCTTCTTAGCCCAGAGACCCCTGGTCTGGGTGAGCTGTGAGTGTACCCCAGAGAGGGCCTGGGCTGGGCTGGGCTGGGCTGGACTAGCATGGAGGTATGGGCGCCCCGCTGGACCTGCCTGGGGCCTGATGTCCTTGCCTTCTCCCCAGCGCTGGCAAGACCTCAATGTGATCAGCAGCCTGCTCAAGTCCTTCTTCCGAAAGCTGCCTGAGCCTCTTTTCACCGATGGTGAGTAGCAGGTGGCAGTGGGAATGGGAGGAGGAGGGACACCTGTCTATGCTGCACTCCAATCGTTTTTTAAATTGGGTTTGTTGGCTTTACTCTTTGGGGTTTTGTTTTAATGCAAGAGAAACGCGTGCTTGTCACATAGTATAGATACAAGTAAAGAAAGCTCAGAGGTCCCTGTCCCCAGAGGTTATCCTAGCACTTCCTGAGCACTGGCTATATGCCAAGCACTGCTCCCTCCAACAACCCCACGAGGTCCTGTATCTCCACTGCACAGACGAGGAAACGAAGGTGAAGTGATTTGCCCACGGTGACCCAGGTTGTAAGTGTCGGAGCCAGCGTTCGGCCCTGGCAGCTGGCTCCAGAACCCAGCTAATCACTCCCCTATGGATGGATATTTAGGCTGTGTTCGATTTTTGCTCTTACAAAAATGGTTGCAACGACTTTCCCTAATGTGTCCCTGCATGCCTGGATCACTTGTCCTCGAGGTAGATTCCTAGATGTAGCATTTCTAGGTCAAAGTCCTGGTCGCCATTTTTAGAAGCTAATGTCCCGTTGCCCTCTGAGAAGAAGGCCCTACTTCACACTCTTGCCAACAGCATAGGAGGGAATTTGCTTCCGCGCACCCCCATCAACCCTGGATGTCATCAATACTTTACATTTTTGTTAATTGGAAGAGAAACGTCATCTCATTACTGTTTTCATTTTTGTTTCTTTCCGTTACTAGGGAAATTCACTATCTTTTCATTAATTTATTGGCCTTTTCTGTTTCCTCTCATTTCCTGTTCGACTGTGTACCCATTTTCCTATTGGGTTGTCTTTTTTTGGTATTGATTTGTAGGACACAAGCTCTTGTGTAGTATAGGTATTAACCCTTTGTTAATTTTGGCAGTAGTTTGCTCCTGCTCTGTCATTTGCCTATTAACTTTGCATTGTAAGGAATTGGAAACAATTATTTTAAGTGTAGTCAAAGCTGTTGGTCTTTAATGGATTCTGCATCTCACGTTTAGGAAGGCCTCATGATTGTGAAGGTATTTTCTTGTTTTTCCCAATATTTTAATGACTTTTACTTTTGGCTCTGTAATGCAATTAAATTTGTCTGCATATTGTGTGAGCTGGAAGTGGATTTTTGTTCCTCCAACAAGATAGCTAGTTGTCCCAGGGACATTTATTGACACCTGCATTCTTCCCCGCCGATTTCAAATACTGCTTTTGTCACATAGTAAACATCCACGTGGCCTCTTCCGCCCCTTTCTGTGTCCTCATCCTGGTCCGCTGTCCCTGAGGCCCCCGTGAGTCCCACACTGCTGTGGTGGTGCTATGGTTTTAGTCCATTTCAGTATCTGAGAGGGCACACCCTCCCTCATCATTCTTCCTTCACAAAATAGCCTCAGCTGTCCTTATGCATTTATTCATCAGATGAATTTTAGAATGAACTTACCATGTTCCATTTTTTTAAAGTTCCCCTTGGGCTTCTTCTGAAGGGAGTTGGGGGCATCTAGACCCAAGTGGGGTGGGCATCTGGAGGCTGAAAGGCCCCGCCCTCTTTCTAGGTAACCTTCTCTTCTGACCTTGTGATGTCCTTGTCCCAGATGCTGGGGCAAGAGCCCCTCTTCCAGTATCAACATGCAGCTCGGGTCTTATTTCTTCCCAAGCAAACACACCTGGGCTACCCCAGGTCAGGCGCACCCCTGAGTGTCACTGTAGTGGATTTGATCATGTGGACACAAGGCCACGGAGCTCCCCCCCGGCCCCCCCAAACTGGAACAGCCTGGGCCTCCTCAGCTTGGAAGCAGCCCACCCCGAGAGTGGGAAAAGGGACCGCCTCCCACCTCTCTAAAGAGTCTTCACTGTGTTCTAGACAAATACAACGACTTCATTGAGGCCAATCGCATCGAAGACTCAAGGGAGCGGATGAAGACGCTCCGGAAGCTGGTAAGGAGACAGAGACACCCTTAGGCAGAAAGCAGATGAGGCTGTCCTGGGAGGCCTGGAGTCCAATGCCACCAATTCCTTCTGTGACCTTGAAGAGGCCCTTCTCCTCTCTGGGCCTCAGTTTCCCCATCTATCCAACAGGGCTGGTTAGAGGGTGGCTTCCAGACCCCCGAGATATGGCAGTGGGAACCCCTGTGGGGCGTGGTGGGAAGGTGGGGCAGCCATCACAGCCCCATGCCCCTTCTCACTGCTACCCAGATCCGGGATCTCCCAGGACACTACTATGAAACGCTCAAATTCCTCGTGGGCCATCTGAAGACCATTGCTGACCACTCGGAGAAAAACAAGGTGGGGGGATGCTGGCGTGGAGTGTGGGGGAAGGAAGCATATAGGGTCCTTTCAGCATACTCTGTGCTCCTCCAGGTCAGATAATCCCAAGGCCCTCTAGGCATACCCTCCTCAGAGGTCATTCTGTCCCCACCCCACCCCTCTGTGCTTCTCCCCTGGAGAGCCATCTCCTGAATTTCTGAGCGCCTCCCAGAGGCAGAGAGCCACAGTCCCACTGTCTGATGGAAATCTATCCTTGGATCTAGTTTGAATCCCTTGCATTGCATTTTTCTTTTCTTTTCTTTTCTTTTTTTTAAAGATTTTATTTATTTATTTGACAGAGAGAGAGAGATAGTGAGAACAGGAACACAAGCAGGGGGAGAGGGAGAAGCAGACTCCCTACTGAGCAGGGAGCCTGATGCGGGGCTCGATCCCAGGACCCTGGGATCATGACCTGAGACGAAGGCAGACGCTTAATGACTGAGCCACCCAGGCGCCCACATTTTTCTTTTCTTTTTAAAAAGATTTTAAGTAATCTCTACACCCAACATGGGACTCGAGCTCACAACCCCAAGATCAAGAGTCACATACTCTACAGACTGAGCCAGCCAGGTGCCCCGCATTGCATTTTTCTAATCAAGCCTCTATATCTTCTGGTTCTGCAGCAGGGAAAATGAATGGAGCTATAGGAATTCTCCCAGTTTTAAAATACCCTTAGAACCTCCAGCAGGTTCCTATTCTGGGATCTCTCACTGTTAGCACAGTATGGGTGAGCAGGTTGGGCACTGCCCTTGGCTGCCAGGCTTGGGATGAGTAAGGCCGAAATCTGGCCTGTGCTGTACTTATCAGGCATCTCCATGCCCAGCAAGGAGGTGTCCATCCCCTAAGCCAGGCACAGCTCGGAATGTGGTTGGGCCTCGGGCCTGAGGGGCCCACAGTGAGGGAGGCCTGGGGGACTGGAGGTCAGAGCTCAGGGGGTGTGAACGCTGACCTGCTCTCCTCCCCGGCCCAGATGGAGCCCAGGAACCTGGCCCTGGTCTTCGGGCCGACGCTGGTGAGGACGTCTGAGGACAACATGGCGGACATGGTGACCCACATGCCGGACCGCTATAAGATCGTGGAGACGCTGATCCAGCACGTAAGCAGCCACGCCAGGCTGCAGCCATGTGCCCCTGGGCATCTCGCTCCTGCGCGCCTGGGTGGATGTGCTCAGGGAAGGAGGAGGCACCTTAAGCAAATGCTCCTGGGATGGTGAATGCCCTTCAGAAGCGATGGGCTGTGTTTCCTTACCAAACAGGAATGGATCCTAGAATCCCTGTCTTTCTAGAATGTTTCATCCCCAGCGGGAGAATCAGGAAGCCCTTGAGCTTCCAAGATATGTGTGAGGGTCAGAGGGCGGAGGAAGGTCAGGGAAGACGCCGCTGGGTTGGAGAGCCAAGGGGTGGATGCAGGGGCACCTTCAGAAAGGGGCCCCCAGGAGAAGTGTCCTGGCAGAAACAGGCAGACAGGTGTAAGGGGTGGGGGCAGAGCTCTGCCTTGCCGGCCCCACTGAGGCTTCGGGGAGCAAATGGTGATGCCCAGGGGAGGGGAGGGGAGGGGAGAGGGGCAGGGCAGAGCAAGGGCTGAGGCGGATCCTGCACTTGTGCTCCCTACGTCTTGGGCTGGTCTCCTCACTTCTCAGGGCTGCCTGAAGGCACCTCCAGCCCTGGGTCTCTAAGGATTCTACGGACTGTCCATGATGGGATGAGAACCTAGAGCAGCCAACAGAGGGCGCAGGAGGCCTTTGTCCTCTGGAGCCAAACCCAGGACAGCACCGCCCCCTTCTGGGCACTCAGGGATGTTTTTTGAAATCCTAGATTTTCCATTTCCAAATCTCCCTATGGCCTGTAGATGGAACAGACCCCGTCCTGCCAGGAGAAATAAGATTGGCAGCTGGCTAGGGGAACGGGGTCCTTGGCCTCTGCAATGTCACAGATGCTTTAGGGAAGGGCAACCAGGTCATGCTACTTCCATCTTATAGATGAGGAAACTGGTGCTCAGAGAGGAAAGGGACTTGCTCAAAGTCACATAGCTAATAAGTGACAGCCCCAGGATTGTAGGCCAGCCTTGTCTGACCAAAGTTTGTGCTTTCCTTTGTCCCTGCTGGGAGGGTGGACTCCTGGGTCCATCCTAGAGCTGACTTGGCTGGCCAGGTGAGGCGGTGGGGTAGACTTTGGTCATGCTGAATGGCCCTGCCTGCTTATTTCCTTCCTTTACTGGGTGGTCAGGGCTCTGAGCCTCAGGAGGGAACATCGAAGCCTGTTCTCGTGCTGACATTGGGACCACCACTCCAGAGCTGTGAGGGAAGCCCAGGCCACGGGGCAGTGTCAGGGATCCTGATGGGGCCTCAGTCTGGGGCAGCTTATCTCCCTTGGAAAAGTTCATCTCCCCAACCCAACAGATAGCCCCTGGAGCCCCCATGAGTGTGTGCTTTGGGAGGGGGCCGGTGCGGAAGAGAGGGGAGGCTGGCTCCATGGCTCCTAGAGAAGCCCCCGGAAGCCCGAGGCCTGTGGTCAGCTAGGGTGTCAGGAATAGCAGCCTCTGGGAGAAGGGAGGCCCAAAGTGTGTCCACTTACCCTCCCCTAGACCCCCAAGAGGGGGTCCCCAGCCAGTGGCGGCCCCTCCTTTGGGCGGGGTGGCAGGAGGAGGAATATATCTGTCTCCTTCACAGGAGTATTCCCAGCGTCCAGCCTAGTGCCTGGCACAAAGTGAACACTCAGGGTTTGTTGAATGAATGAATGAATGAATGAATGAGTTGCTTTTGAGGTTCTACCTGTCTGGGCTTTGACACTCAGGGATTCATTCCTGGGCACCCATGGAGCTGGAGCCTCTCCATTCTCTGCGTCCTTGGCACTTGAACATAATCAGCCTGGACAGTTGTCAAGGGAATAAGCTACCCCTCTGCAGTCCCCTGGAGTCCACTCACCCAAGTTTGCCGGTGTCCGTCTAGTCCAGAGTCAGCGTAGTCATGAGCCCAGGCAGGATAGGAGTTTGGCAGAGAGCGCTCTGACTCTGGCTGGGAGCCTGTGGCCAGTCAGTGGATGGTTGAAAGTCGTGGGTGACATGACCTCCTGCTGGATTTCCAGCCGCAGCTGACACCTGGCCTCCCTGCTGGGGGCTCCTGTCCCCTGTGGAACTCTTGGACAGCTGAGCTGGAAGGGGCCGTCAGGTCCCGAGACCCATCCTTGCGTGGTACAGAGGGTGGAAATGGGTGTGGAGAGGCAGGGACGTGCCCAGGGTCACACAGCACGATCGTGGTGGAATGGAGGTGCACAGACCCAGGTGTTCAGCCTCCCGGTGGCAAGTCGCCAGCCAGCTCATGGCCACGTTCACTAAGCCACCTGAAACCCAAACCAAGACCGCCTCAAGGCATTAGTTCCTTGATTCACCTGGCAAACGCGGTGATTCCTACTCGCTGCATGCTGGGAGTTCTCCACCGCAGCACTAGTGACCTTTGGGGCCAGATAATTCTTCGTGGGGAGCTGTTCTGTGCATCGGAGGATGGTTAGCATCTCTGGCTAGAAGCCAGGAGCATCCCTCCGGTTGCGACAAATGCAAATGTCTGCAGACTTTGCCGAATGCCCCACGGCCGGGGGCCGGGGGGGGCAAACTCACCGAGGCTCAGAAGCACTGGGGCAGGGGGCTGAGGGCTCTGGCTCTGGAGCCAGCCTGCCCGAGTTCACTGCGGCCTCTGCTCCTTGCTGGCTGGGTGGCCTTGACCAAGTGACTGACGCTCTTGTCTGCAGAGCAGAGAGAACAGTAATGCTTATTACCTCACGAAGTAGTTGCGAGGCTTCCGTGAGTTAATAGCTGTGAAGGCCCTCAGACGCCACCTAGCAGCTTGGACGTGCTGTATGGATTAGTGATGGCGAACGACTGACCTCACGGGCATCACTTCACGCCAGAGGCCGGGGTGCGTGCTGGGCCCCGGAGGTGAACAGAAGCCAGGCCCTGCTCCGAAGGAGCACTGCCCAATGAAGATCTCACTTCATTTTCTGGGCTCTGGTCAGGGAAGCCCCGTGGAAGGAGCCGACCCCGCCCCAGGTGTAGGGCTGGGACCCTAGTCAGGGTCTCCTTGAAGTGTCGTCAAAGGCCTCAAGGAATTTAGCCAGGCAGAGGCAGGAGAAAGCATTGCAGGCAGAGGGAACTGGATGTGCACCAGCTAGCGTGCATTCCTCCAGAGAGCTCTGGGCTCCCTGGAAGCTTCCTTCACACTTCTGGGCTCCCACAGCACTCTCGGGCACCCTCAAACCGAGTTAAAGACTGGCTTCTCAGGGCTCCTGTCCTCAGCCCGTCTCTGGGAACTGCACCTTTTCGTAATTACAGCTAACATCTATTACACACTAACAGTGTGTTGTCCTGAGTGCTTTACGTACTGTATTGCGTTATTTTTAAAAAATTTAAATGGAGGGGGGTTTCTTGGGTGGCTCAGTCGGTTAAGCGTCCAACTCTTGATTTTGGCTCAGGTTGTGATCTCAGGGTCGTGAGATGGAGCCCCGTGCTGGGCTCCAAACTGGGCGTGGAGCATGCTTGACATTCCCTCCCTCCCTCTGCCCCATCCCTCTCCTGCTCACACGTGTGCGCTCTCTCTCTCTCTCTCTCAAAAAAAAATTATTTTTAATGGAGTTATAATTGACATGTAACATTATATTAGTTTCAGGTGTACAACAGAATGATTCGGTATTTGTATATGTTGTGAAATGATCAGCACTCTAAGTCTAGTTACCACCCGTCCCCGTGCATAGTTACAGTTGTTTTTCTTGTAATGAGAATTCTTTTTAAGATTTATTTATTTATTTTAGAGAGAGAAAGTGAGAGAGAGCAGGGGGAGGGGCAGAGGGGAAGAGAGAGAGAGAATCTCAAGCAGACTCCCCCTGAGCGCAGACCCTGACGTGGGGCTCAATCCCAGGACCCGGGGATCATGACCTGAGCAGAAATCAAGAGAATTTTTTTGTTAAGATTTTATTTATTTATTTGAGAGAGAGAAGGGGAGAGAGAGAGAGAGCATGAGAGGGGGGAGGGTCAGAGGGAGAAGAAGACTCCTCTCTGAGCATGGAGCCCGATGTGGGACTCGATCCCAGGACTCCAGGATCATGACCTGAGCCAAAGGCAGTGGCTTAACCAACTGAGCCACCCAGATGCCCCAAAATTTTAAAGATTTATTCTCTTAGTAACTTCCAAGTAGACAATACAGTGTTATTAACTATAGTCATCATGCTCTATACTTCATCCCCATGACTTACTTATTTTATAATTGGAAGTTTGTACCTTTCGACCCCCTTCATCCCCTTGCTCCTCCCCCCACTCCTGGCAACCACCAACCTGTCCTCTCTACCTATGAGCTTGGATTTTGTTTGTCTGTTTGTTTTCAATTCCACATATAAGTGAGAGCATACGGTATTTGTCTTTCTCTGACTTATTTCATTTAGCATAGTGCCCTCGAGGTCCACCCGTGTGGTCACAAATGGCAAGATTTCCTTTTTATGGCTGAGGAGTATTCCATTTCATATACATACCACATCTTCTTTATCCATTACTCCACTGATAGACACTCAGGTCGCTTCCATATCTTGGCTTTTGTAAATAATGTGCTGCAATGAACGTCAGGGTGCAGGTATCTTTTCTTGTTGTTGTTGTTTTTTTCCCTTCAGATAAATACCCAGAAGTGGAATTGCTGGATCCTAGGGTTGTTCTATTTTTAACTTTTGAAGAGCCTCCATACTGGTTTCCATAGTGGCTAAGCCATTTTACATTCGCACCAACACTGTGTGAAGGTTCCCTTTTCTCCCACATCCTCTCCAACACTTGGTATTTCTAGTCCTTTTTATAATAGCCATATGGGATTTCATTTTAATTCTCACCACAATTCTAGAAGTAGATACTCCTATTATGTCCATTTTACAGATAAGTAAATAGACTCAGAGAGGTCATCTACCTGAGGTGAACTTGAGCCTGAGACGACTAACTTTAGATCTTGCATTATTTATTTATTTATTTTTAAAAGATTTTATTTTTATTTATTTGACAGAGAGAGAGACAGCCAGAGAGGGAACACAAGCAGGGGGAGCAGAAGAGGGAGAAGCAGGCTTCCCGCACAGCGGGGACCCCAATGCGGGGCTCAATCCCAGGACCCTGGGATCATGACCTGAGCTGAAGGCAGACGCCCAATGACTGAGCCACCCAGGCGCCCCATTGCATTATTTTTTTTTAAGATTTTATTTCTTTATTTGAGAGAGATGGAGAGAGAGAGCTCATGTGTGCATGAATGCATGAGTGCAGGAGTTGGGGGGAGGGGCAGAGGGAGAGAGAGAGAAGCAGACTCCCTGCTGAGCAGGGAGCCCGATGCAGGGCTTGATCCCAGGATCTAAGGTGTAGGCAGGTTAATGCTTCACTGGCTGAGCCACCCAGGCACCTAGATCTTGCATTATTTCTTATTCTCTCTTCTCTTTCTTATCTTCTGTGCTACTTATTTGGATTAATAATATGCCCGATTGTGATGAATAATAACTGAGGTTCATGGCACACGGTCATAATCAACCTGCAAGTCTCCTTGTTCCCCCATTCATTCCTACCCACTCTGCCCCCCCATAATGACCCACTCTAATAGGTTAATATGTGTCCTTCCAAACCAACTTTCTCTCTGCTTATTTTATTTATTTTTAAACAAACGGTATTTTATTTTATTAAGTAATCTCTATGCCCAGCGTGGGGCTTGAACTCATGATCCCAAGATCAAGAGTTGCACAGTCTACCAACTGAACTGGCCAGGCACCCCAAATATTCTGTGTGTTTTATTTTTAATTTTTATTTTTTTAAAAGATTTATTTATTTGAGAGGCAGAGCGAGAGAGCATGGGGGGAACCGCAGAGGGAGAGGGAGAAGCAGGCCCCCCGCTGAGCAGGGAGCCCCACATGGGGCTCAATCCCAAGATCCTGAGATCATGACCTGAGCCGAAGACAGATGCTTAACCGACCGAGCCACCCAGGCTGCCCCTCTGCGTGTTTTAATTTTCAATCAGTGAGCTTAGCTCATTTGCTTGATTCTAATTTCTGTACTGTTAGGGCTTATCTTTGCTATCTTAAATGTCATTTTCTCTTTACCCCATTTTCATTTTATCTCTCTTCAGTCTGTCCTTCCTTGCTTTGGATGAATTGACTTTTATTTTCCTGATGTGAAAATTATACAATTTATAAAGTCCATACTGTGTTTAATCATACAGTTATAACAGTCCATACTTAGGTTTCATTTTCACTGACAATTTCTAAACTCATCAATATCCATTGTCTTCCTTCCACCACATCTAAAAGCCAAGTACCTTAGTGTATTCTCACTCATACACAGAGAGGTTTCTCCCTCTGCGTTCGAAATCCACGGCGTCATGGAGATACTTTGTGTGTGTTTGTGTATGTGTGTGAGTATCCTTTCTTGGATCTACAATGGACTTTTCTTTTTTTTTTAAGATTTTATTTATTTATTTGAGAGAGAGAGAATGAGAGAGAGAGAGCACGAGAGGGAAGAGGGTCAGAGGGAGAAGCAGACTGCCTGCTGAGCAGGGAGCCCGATGTGGGACTCGATCCTGGGACTCCAGGATCATGACCTGAGCCGAAGGCAGTCACTTAACCAACTGAGCCACCCAGGCGCCCAAAAATGGACTTTTCTATGCTACTATCCATCCTTACTTCTCAGAGCCTGTTGCTCCACCCTGGAGTTATTTCTTTATGAGCTCATGTGCACAATTAAGAGAGTCTTTGTGCAGTAAGCTTTCTGATGTCTTAGAATAGCTGTAGTTTACACTCAAAAGTGAGAGTTTAGCAGGGTATAAAATCCGAGGTTCCAAATTCTTGCGTTTGTAGTCCAGCAATACAGTGAAAATATTGTCTTCTTGTGTCTGCTGCTGCTGAAAGTTCTAGTTACAGCTGATACTTGCTCATTTGCAAGCAATCCGTTTTTGTTTTTCAGAAAACTTTTAGGGTTTTATCTTCAAGATTCTCAAATTTCACAAAATGTATTTAAGAATGGGATTTTCACTTTATTTTCTATCCTGTTTGACATTTATGTGAAAACCCTTGCCTGCCTGCCTGCCCCTCAGGGAACCTCCTAACACTTCCCTCCAGGCACTTCTCTTTCCTGGCCAGGGGAGGCGGTGCCGCCCCAGGGCAGTGTGGTGCCCAGGGCTGGGGAGGGGTACACAGCTTTGGCAGCCAGGACTGGCCTTCTCCCTGCAGTGGCCCCAACTGGCACTAGATGGCGCTGCTGCCCCCCCACCCTCCCGCTTCTGGCCTGTGGTTGGGAGCGAGTCACCGTGATGCACACTGTACAGAGTCTAGTGATAGCCAGGCCTAGAAGCTCTCCCTGAGCTGGCCCTCCATCAGTCCTCAGCCCCCTCCCAGTCCAGGCTGCGTTTTCCTCCCACACTGGGGTCCAGCCCTTTCTCTCCCCACGGGTTTCTCATAGCCTGTGGAGTTGGGTCCTGGGATTCATCAACCTCCCTTGGGGACTTCTAGTAACCAGGTGCAGATGGGGGTTGTTGAAAAGAGGGGGGACCCTTACCTCTTGGTGCCCCCTCCTGCCCTGCTCCATCTGGCGTCTGAGTGGGGTCTTCTGGACTATGCAGGTCAGGAGCCTGTGTCTCTGTCTTCCCTCAGCCCCTTTCCACACTGAGTTCACTTCCTTTTGTCTCCTCTGCAGTCAGACTGGTTCTTCAGCGATGATGAGGACAAGGGAGAGAGAGTAAGTGATGCAGATGGAGGGCGGGGCTGGGTCTGAGCTGAGGTGGGCCCTCGTCCCAGGCTGGGGGCCGGGAGGGGGCAGGCAGCAAGACTCAAGCAGGGGAAGGTCCCTGTCTTTGGGGCTTCCCAGTCTGATGGAGGAAACATAGACCCTCTCCTCAGGAGCCTCTAATCTAACGGGAGACACGATCCTTGCCTTCATGAGCCCCCAGTCTAAGGGGGGAGATATAAGCCTTACCCTAAGGAAACTGAGTCCAAGTCTTATCTGGAGGATACAGGTCTTAGGAAGGTCCAGTCTGATGGGGAAGACACAGCTCCTGCCTTCAGCTGAGGGAGCAGCTCCAGCCTTTGAGGGTTCAATCAAGGTGTTGGAGAAGGCACAAAACAGTCTAATGGGGGACATGTGGGACCTGCCCTCAAGAGTGCCTGACCAATGAGAGAGACAGCCGCTGCCCTGGTGAGCCCCGGTCTGATGGAGGAGTCATGGGCCTTGCCTTCAGGTTACCCCAGTTTTGCGGGATTCACAGTCTGGCCATCTGAGGGCATGCTGGCTGACCCTCCTCCTGTTTGCAGACTCCTGTGGATGACAAGGAGCCTCAGTCAGTGCCCAACATTGAGTACCTCCTGCCTAACATTGGCAGGACAGTGCCCCCTGGTGACCCAGGTTCCGGTGAGTGCCCGGGCTTGGGAAGGGGTGGGGGGTGGGGGTGGGATCCGCACTCCCCAGGGTCCCAGATGCCTGGCCAGATGCCCAGCTTCCCTGCTCTGCCCCAGTGGGGCCCTTCCCTGCCCCCCACCACCGAGACTGGGCTGTGGCAGTGCCTTCTCCGCTCTAGGGAGGTCTGGCTTGCCTGTGCGCCCGCCTCCTTGTCTGCTCAGCGGCCCCCGGGGCTGGGTAGGGGCTTTGTTCACCCTCCTTCACTGGTTTCCTTCCTGAGCTTTTTATTTCTCACGGGCTGTGTCCTTCTGGGCATATTTCCTCTTTTTAATTTTTCTTCCTTTTCTCCTTGCACCCCTCCACCCTCCTGTCTCTTCTCCCTGTGCTCTCCTCCCACCCCTGGACCCTGCCCCTCTCTTCTCTCCTTCCCCTCCTCCAGCGGACCTGTTGGAGATTTAAAGGGTACAGTGTGGCATTGCGGCCTCGGTCACTAACAGTGGCGGGTGATTATAAGAAGGCTGGGCAGGCCCGAGGGGCACGCAGAAAGGTCCCGGGCTGTGAGCACCTCGATGTGACATACCAGCTCCCCAGGCTTGTTAACAACTTACCCCCACCCTAACCCTCCTATCTGAAAGCCCCTTCTCAGGAGGAAGGAGGTTTGTTGGAGGCAGATCCTATCCCCTTGCCAGGAAGTCTGGGCACCGCACGTTGCCCCCCACAATCCCCAGACTCTGGCCTTCTCTCTGTGCCGAGGCGGCCACTTGGGGTTATCCGGACAGGAGGAGGCTTGGCTGTAAGGAGGACCCAGCCTGTCTAGACATGGGTGACGTCACCCCCAGAAGCCCCTCTATAGCTGCAGCTCCTGCCTCAGTTGCCTCCGAGGGCCGGCTCTTCCCGTGTCTGAAACCAGAGCCCCTGGTCACTCAGCCCTTTAGTCCTGTTTCTGGGCGTAGAGCCTCGAACAGAGTAGCCCAGAGCAGTCCCTTCTTGGCTCAAGGCACTAACTTGTCCTGCCTAATGGAGGAGCTCCCCTCAGTGTTTTAACTGCTCCTGTCTCTGACGGAGGCATTCCACAGCACCCCTAGTTCCCAGAGGCAGGCTGAGGAGGGGGCCAGAGGACAAGGTGGGAGGGGGTGGCAGAGAGGAGCCCCCCGTTTCTTCTAATCACCTGCTGCCGCACCCCTGCCCCGTGTGTCTCACTGTGTGGTCGGCCATCTGCTCCTCTCACTGTGTGCAGGGGAGGGCTGGGGAGGAGGACTCACTTGCTTGCCAGAGAGTGTGGATTAACTGTGCCTGCGCACTGCCCCATCAGACCCCGGGAGGTCCTTAGATCAGCCTGGAGAACACCCTGCCAGGATTGGTTTCTGGTTCCTTCTCCACCCCCAATGATATTAAGGGAGTGGGACCCAAGTCCCATGGATGTAACAGTTTTATTCTTCTTCATAACTCTGGTAATAAACAGGGGCCTTGCCCCATCAGGGCAGCTTGACCTGGAGTCTGGAGCTGGAGCTTAGCAAAGCCCAAATCACCAGCCCACTCTACCTCCTATGTCCCGCCCACCTGCTGTCTGCCCCATACTCCATCCTACACGGGGCCCGTTGTCTTCCTCCTGTCCTGGAGTTGGGGTGGGGTGGAGGTAGATGTAGGGCCCCCACCTGTCTATGCACTGTGTGGTCTCCTCCATTCCTTCAGAGCATCTGTGATTTGCTGTGTTTCATTGTGGTTTCTGTGGACTGCATCTGATATTTGGTATTTTCTCTCCAGTGCTTCAGAGTAACAGGGACAGGAGGGGAGGGGAGAGGAACTAGGCCCAAAGAAAAGCCCCCCCACCCCACACCGCTTGCCCTTGACCCTGGCAAATGAGGGTCTAGGGACTGGCAGCCTGATGTCACTTCCTGCCTCAAAAGGAAGTGGTGATTGACATCATTAGCTGCTCCATCCCTGTCCCACAGGAAATGACATCAGAAGCCCATCACACTCCCAGGACCTGGGGAGAGCTCAGGTGTCTGAACTCCCTGGTTTCTGAAGCCTCTGAGGAGAGGGAATCATGTTCACAAGACAGCCTCCTCCTGCCCCAAATTAACTGTCATTTTTATTTCTCGCTCTCCCCAACAGATTCCACCACCTGCAGTTCAGCCAAGTCCAAGGTGAGTGCAAAAGCCATTCTGAAGGCTTTATCCCTGTCCAGGCCAGCCCACTCTTTGCTTTTTGGTCAAGGGAATTGGGAGAAGTGCCCGTGGCCCTGAGGAAGGTTGCTGGTCACTAGGAAGGCAGGTGGGAAGGACTGTGCGTACGAGGTTAGCAGAGAAGCTACTCACCTTGGCAGGGCTTCGGGAGGCGTCTGGGGGAAGAGAAGGATCTGGCTTGGGAGTTAGGCGCCCGGGGGGCAGCGTGCCCAGTGGTCAGAAGCACACACAGTCCTGGGACTGAGTCCTGGCTCCACCACTCAGTAGCTTCGGGACATCGGGCAAGTTGCTCAACCTCTTTGTGACCCTCAGCTTCCTCATCTGTAAATGAGGCCTGATATTTATCCCCATTTATGGGGATACGGGAACCGACAGCTACGTTTGCTACAATAACTATGCTTTTTGGAGAGCCCAAAGCAAGCAGAAGGAAGGAAAGAATAAAGACAAGAGCATCAATCAATGAACTGAAAACAATCGAGAAAATCAATGAAACCAGAGCTGGTTCTTTGAACCAGCCCTCACAGCCAGCTAGTCCTGGCTGCTTCAGAGCCTGCCTTCTGAGACAGAGCCATTAGGCGAGCATGGCTGCCCAACTCTTAGAGCTGGATGGCCAAGGGGGTTGTCTTGGTCAGCTCGGGCTGCTGTAACTAAATGCCACAATACTGGGTGGCTTACACAACAGACATCTATTTCTTCACAGTTCTCGAGGCTAGATGTCCAAGATCAAGGTGTCAGCATGGTCAGTTTCTGCTGAGAGCTCTCTTCCTTTCTTGTGGATGGTTGCCTTCTCGCTCTGTCCTTCTAGAGCAGAGACAGAGAGCAACAGCACCAGCTCTCTGGTGTCTGTGTAAGAGTACCAATGCCACTATCAGGCCATGGCTGCATTACCCGCCAAAGGCCCCATCTCCAAATACACGGGGGGTCCGGCTTGCTTCAGCAGATGGCTTCGGGGAGGGGGATACAATTCTGTCTGTAGTAGTGGGTGAAATCACTAAACATTGGTGATCGAACTGGACTCGTTTCGGTCTGGGTCTCCAAGCACTGGCCAGGTCCCAGTGAGCCCAGTGTGCCCGACACCAAGTAGATGCTCATTATTATATCAGAAGAATGTAGTGGGGGGGGGCGCCTGGGGGGCCCAGTCAGTTAAGTGTCCAACTCTTGATTTCGGCTCAGGTCAAGATCTCGTGGTCGTCAGAGCCATGTGGCGGGCTCTGCGCTGGGCGTGGAGCCTGCTTGGGATTCTCTCTCTCCCTCTCCCTCTGCCCCTCCCCTCCCTACTTGCACGCTCGCTCTCTCAAAAAAAAAAAAAAAGAAAAGAAAAGGAAAAGAAAGAAAAAAGAAGAAGAGTGTACTGGACAGAAAGAAAGAAGCCTGCTTTAGTCTGGGACAGAGGTCCTTGCAACCTCTCCATAGAACCTCTGACTGCACACCTGTGGGGCAGGGAGCTCACTCCATCAGAAGATTGCTGTGACAGGGAGCAAGTTCATCACAGTGACTTGAACCTAGCTCCATGTTACTTCCACCCATTGCTCCTGCTAACCTCCTGGCTTCCCATAGCCTCTCCTGGGCTGACCCCTTGACCTTTCTGTGCATGTACTGACCTCTGCTTTCCTGGAAGGGACCATCATGACCTCACTGCTTCTGTAACTAGCAGGAGGAGAGGATAATTTGACCAGATGGTCCTAGTGGCCTCTCAAGTCTCTCCGAGAGCATTGGTCAGATGAGAAAGTGGCACTGGCCACCCTGTGCCTCGGGGAGATCACAGCAGAGCCCCCATATTGCACAACTCCAGGGATTGCCTTCAGGAGCCCTGTTGACAGCCACGGCCCGGGAGCCATGTGCCTCTGAATCCTGACTCCCTGACGTGCGTCGCCTTTCTCAGAACTAGCTGATGTGAGAGAGTATGTAGATTGCGGGGGCCATGCGAGGCTTCTCTGGGTCTCCATTCAGTATTAGCGCTGTGGCTGAACGAGGAGGTGGCCTGTGAGGAGGGGTCACAGGGCAGGCCATTCCAGCCCAGCAGGGGGAGCAGTTTCAGCCTCTGCTTCCGCAGGGCTTCCTGTGTTGAGGGGACTGCATTCACCCATGAGTCCTTCAGTTAACATTTATTGAGCACCTGTTATGTGCCAGGCATGGCGCTAGGGGTCATGGATGCAAACACAAATAAGCCACAGACCTTGCTCTCAAGGAGCTCAGGGTTTGATGCAGATGACGTGGAAACAGACCTATCCTGATGGGAGAAGAGCAGGTGCAGCTGTGTTTTCAAAGGGTGAGGCAAGGGCTGAGAGGCGGCCGCACGGAGGCTGCCATGTTTCAGCTGGGCCTAGTAGGAGGATTTAGAGCACACGCAGCACATAGGGTGGGCTGGGGGGCGGTGGCTAAGGGCTGCCAGTGTTAAAATGCAGGTGAGTCTGGCTGGAGTGTAGGCTGGGTTGGGGTTGGGGTAGGGAGGGCCCTAGGCTGGGAGTGTTGGGACCAGATTGTGAAGGGCCCTGGGTCTGAGCTTCATCCTGGTGGGGGTGGAGGCGCCCTGCAGAGTCTGGAGGTGATCAGATTCCCACCTAGTCTTAGAAGGACTGATTGCTCTAGGGGAGGAGGGACTGGGGTAAGGCAAAGGTGGAGGCAGGGGGTCCTATCAGGAGAGGGCAGAAAGGCCCAGAAAAGGCCGTGTGAGGGCCTGAAAAGAGGATGGTGAGGATGGGCTGGCTTTGCGAGTCACTTCAGGAGAACTGAGAAGAAGCAGGGGAGAGGGAGGAGGCAGAGAATCTCACCTTAAGGTGGGGAACGTGAATGCAGGTGGTTTGGGGCAGGGCGTGGGGGCATAGTGCAGTTGCAGATAGGTGAATTTCGGGTGCCTGCAGAAACCTTGCTTGAGGGAGTCTTGCGGTTGGAAGAAGAGTTCTGGAGTTCAAGGGATAGTTTGGTGTTGGCCGGTGACGGGCAGCGTGGGCTCTGCTGGGGCATCCAGGAAGGCTAGGACAAGAAAACACCCACAGGGCTTAGCAGTGAGAACGGGGCAGGAAGGTGCCCAGCGTGGGGTTGGAAATCAGTGTTTGGGAGCAGCATCCATCCAGACCATCGGATTGTGCAGGATCGTGCGGCCTCTCCTGGCGGCAGAGCTGAGGGCTGCATTGATACGGGGATGCCGATTGTGGGTGGCGCGCTGGTGGATTGGCTGAAACGCCCGCCCGTGGGCTGCAGTGGTGGGAAAGGGAAGTGAACTTGGGCCCATTGCCCTGGAGAGGCTCATACATACGGAGTAGGTGGAAAGGCAGGTTTCCCAGGTGGGGGTGAGTGGAGATGGAAGGGGTAGAAGCCGCCGTCGGAGGGAGGGCCCCGCCAGGATCTGGTGGTTATCATCCGGGACAGTCTATGTGAAATGGGTTCAAACTGTCAAGTGTATTCCCTGTTGAGAGACTCTTATCACCAGAGCCGTGTCTAAAAGGCTTTCGCTAGCGCTGGGCATGGGGAATGGAGGGGAAGGTGGGCAGAGGTGAAGGACCGGCGCCCAACTCACAGGAAAGAGCCGAGAGTCTCTGGATTGAGGCCAGAGCGGGTGCTGAGGGGGCTGCAGGGTTGGCCGGCTCCCCGGTGGGGACCGGGTGGGTAGTGACGCTGCCGCGGGCACAGCCGTCGGGGAGGAACGGCGGGGGCGCGGGGCCGGACCCCGTTGCGGCCGGGTGCCGCGGTGCGGGGGCGCCTCCTGCATTCTGGCCTGTCTCCCGCGCAGGGCTCGTGGGCCCCCAAGAAGGAGCCGTACGCCCGGGAGATGCTGGCGATCTCCTTCATCTCGGCGGTCAACCGCAAGCGGAAGAAGCGGCGGGAGGCGCGGGGGCTGGGCAGCAGCACCGACGACGACTCGGAGCAGGAGGCGCACAAGCCCGAGGCGGGGGCGCCGGGGGCGCGGGACCAGCCGGAGGGGCCGCTGCCGGGCGCCACCGCCGCCGCCGCCCCCGAGGCCCCCGGCCGCCTCAGCCCCCCGGCGGCGCCGGACGAGCGGCCGGCCGCGGACACGCGCTCCATCGTCTCGGGCTACTCCACCCTGTCCACCATGGACCGCAGCGTGTGCTCGGGCGCGGGCGGCCGGCGGCCGGGCGCGGGGGACGAGGCGGACGACGAGCGCAGCGAGCTGAGCCACGTGGAGACGGACACGGAGGCCGGCGCGGGGCCCGGGGGGCGCCCGGCGCGCCGGCCGTCCTTCAGCTCGCACCGCCTCATGCCCTGCGACACCCTGGCGCGCCGCCGCCTGGCCCGCA